CTGCAGCAGCAGCAGCAGCAGCAGCTGCTGCTGCTGCTGCTGTTGTTCCGGGGGCACCACAGACATCCATCTCGCTCGGAACAACAACCCCATTCATACAAACTGAATTATAACTCGAGAGGGAGCTCCCTAAGCCCCCAGAGCCTGCTGCTCCTGCTGCAGCAGCAGCAGCTGCTGCTGCTGCTGCTGCTGCTGCTGCGCCCGAATCTCCCGATCCAAAAAGGGAAGCCACACTGCTGCTGCTGCTGTTGCTGCTGCTGCTGCTGCACGCCAGCCCCTGGACTTGAGGTACACACAACCCTGCTGCCTCTAACCCAGGGATGTGGGGCCCCACAGATGGAAGCGACGCCGCCGCACCTGCTGCTGCTGTTGTTGCTGCTGCTGCTGCGCTGCTGCCCGGTGATGATGCTGCAGGGCGGCCACCAGCAGAGAGGCTGCTGCAGTTTGCTGCTGCATCCGGCAGCAGCGCCCCACAGCTGCTGAGAGATGTTGCTGTTGCAATGGAAGCGGCAGCATCTGCTGCTGCTGCATCTGCTGCTGCTGCTGCAGCATCTGCTGCTGCTGCTGGAGTCACCCCCAATTGGTGCAGCGCCCCTAACATTTGCTGATGTTGGTTTGCGAAGGCCAGCAGCAGCTGCTGCCGCTGCAGCATCAGCTGCTGCTGCTGCTGCTGCAAGGGATCGAGCTGTGCAGCAGCAGCCGCAGCCGCAGCAGCAGCTGCTGCTGCTGCTGGCTGCTGCTGCAGCTGCGGAACCCTCGGGCTTAGACCCAAAGCGAGGGCAGGGAAGGGCGTCACTGCTGCTGCTGTTGCTGCAGCAGCTGCAGCAGCTTGCTGCCCCAGATCAAGGTAGGGTGGTGCCCCCGCAGGCGTAGAAGAGGAAGCAGCAGCAGCAGCAGCAGCCGCTGCTGCTGCTGCATGCTGCTTGCTTGCAGCAACAGCAGTAGGAGACGAAGAAGCAGAGGAGATTGTGCTGCAGGGAGGAGACGGTAAATCGTCGATTGCAAGAGACCCCAGACCCATCCCCCGCAAGTAAGAAGCAACCTGCAGCAACAGCAGCAGCAGCAGCAGCAACAGCAGCAGCAACAACAATAAAACCAAGTACAAACTCATGCAAACATCATGCAGTGAAGCGTCCTGCTACTACTCCTGCTGTTGCTGTTGCTGCTGCTGCTGCTGTTGCTGCTGCTGCTGCTGCATCAACCCACCAATGGCAGCTTCAGCTCTCCCGCTAGCGCGACAGCAGCAGCAGCAGCACTCTGCTGCTCTTCTGTTGGAACCGGTGCATCTGTTGCTGCTGCTGCTGCTGAGGTGGGGCTATCCGTGCTGCCTGCTGCTGCTGGATGCTGAGCAGCAGCTAAGAAAGGAGCAGCAATACCCGCACCAACTGCTGCTGGCGCTGCTGCTGCTGCTGCTGCTGCTGCTGGCTGCGGAAGCGAGACCGCATTCGATTGTGTTTCCTGCGCTGGGGGTTGAGCTCCTGTTGCCCCTGCTGCTGTTGCTGCTGCTGCTGTTGCTGTTGCTGCTGTCGTTGTTTCTGCTGCTGTGTTTGCTGCCGTGGCTGCTGCTGCTGCAGCGTCCCCTGCAGCAGCAGCGGTCGTTCTGGGCTCTGCAGCAGTTGCGGGCATGGAGGAACCTGCAGCAACTTGCGGCCAGTTGCTGCTGCTGCTGCTGCTGCAACAGGTGGGGCAGCCAAGCGCGTTAATTGCTGCTGCTGTTGCTTTTGCTGTTACTGTTGTATTTGCTGCTGCTGCAGTTGCTGTTGCTGCTATAATCGTTGTTGCTGCTGCTTCAGCTGCGAAAAAAAGTGGGGAGGCAGTGCACTAAGAAGCAATGCCCCTGCCCTCCATCACAGCTGCTGCAGCAGCAGCAGCAGGAGGAGCAGCAGCAGCAACTGCTGCTGCTGCTCCCCACAGCAAACACCGGAGAGAGACGGGCCCCACAGACAGCCGTCCCTCAGCCTAACGCTGTCGCTACCTTCTGCACTCTCTTAGAATGAAGTGTTGCAGCTGCTGCTGCAGCAGCAAGTGCTACTGAGTAGGTCCCCTATATCGCAACGGCAGCAGGGGCAGCAGCAGGCGGAGGTTTTGCTGCAGCAGCAGCAGCCGGGGCAACAGCAGAAAGTATAGGGGCTACACTGCCTGCTGCGCTGGCGCCGCAGCAGCAGCAGCAGCGTGGAGCCCTAAACAACAAGGGAGGAGTAAGGAGACAGCTGAGGAGACAGTTGAAGAGACAGCAAGAGAGAAGTAGTGTTGCTGCAGCAGAACAGACAGGTGCTGCAATATGCGAGTAATAACGGGGTTGTAGGGATGCAGCAGATGCACAAGAGAGAGAAAAAAGAGTGTAGTATGAAGCCAATAAGAAGAAGAACGAGAAAACGAACAAAAATGAGGAAGAGAGAAGAATATGAATAAACAACTACAACACTCTCTCTCCGGGTGTACAGGCAGCTGCGAGTCTGCTTGTTTGTTTGTAATAGAAGGGCTTCTTCTGCTTCTAGGGTAGAAAAACAAATAAATAATGATAAAATATTATTT